AACTCCTTGCGCCACCAGGGAGGCCCCTAAAGATTTATTTATTTATGCAAGAACTGGGGTGTAAGCCAGAAGTGCGGGAGGTGAGAGGATTCACCAGAGACAGAGAAGGGAGCAGAACAGGTGGAGCAACTGAAATACACTGCTGAGGGGAGCAGCGTGGGTCAGCTCCCTGGCTGGGCATGGAACTCGTGCTGCGGTGGTTGCTGATAGCTTCATAGTGCCCTTGAGCCACCAGAAAGGCCCCAATTTGACTTATTTTAATTATATTCTTAATTTTTATTTTTAAATGTTTAAAGATGTCTTTTACTACCATTTATTATTTTGGGAGGCAACACAACTATGAAGATTATTCTATGCCACCTCAAGTCCCCAGTGGGACTGCATCACCCACCATTTCCATCAGCACTGGCATTAGTTCGCTCCGTGTTGCCTGCCAGCCTGCCTTCCTGTCCTACTTCTCCACTCCCTGTGACTCACTCTCAAACACATTGTTTGCCCTCAAATTCTTGTTTGGGGCAGCCCAACTTTAAAGAATGATAGAACAAATGAAAGTCATAGAGGGTGAGAGATCCCTGTAGTTGGGGACAATCTGAACAGTTTTTATGCTGCACGTGGTATGCTAGCCGGACGCTGAAAGTCCGGAATTAGGGGAGGAATGTGGAGAGAGCTTAAGTGCAGACCTTCAAAGGACAGGTGAGGAAATGAGCATCCTCTATTGGGTTTCTTTCCCTGTCGCAGGTAGAAACGACTTTTCTGTTCTAACAAACTGTCTTTGTTTTGCTCTAAGAATTCTCCTCCCTGGTCTTTAGAAATAATTTTCCTCTTATAAACAGGTGGATTTAATGTGCCTGCAAGATGCTTTGTTCTTCAGGTCACATTGCCCGAGTCAGCCTAGCATTATTACTAATACTAATACTATTACTATTCCTAATACTAATACTAATACTACTCCTGCTTTAACCAAATATCTCTTTTTAGGGGCCAGGTACTCGACAGAAGAACAAAATATGGAACAGAGTGAATTTCAGAGCCTAGTTCCCACCCACAAAGTCAGACCAAGCTGGCAACTTCTCCTGTGAATGAGAATGAGTAGTGGCAATTTGATGAGAGTGGGATAAATAAAGGCTTCTTTTTCCTCCAGAATGGTTTAGAATGTCTGTCAGGTGACTGACCCATCAACATGACTGTGAATGAGGTAGATTGAATCAGATTAAAAGTGTTTTTCTGAAAAATAAAGGAAGCAAAACTGACAAGTCTTCAGCCTTGTTACCAACTTGTCCCAAATGTTTGCTCTGGAGTTAGGTAGTCTGAAAGTACATATCCAAGATCCCCCAAACACAGATAAATATGCCCAAGTGCTTTCACTGCAGTGTTTGCTGAAGGAGAATAAAGTTGTAAACCCATGCTTCACCACAAATAAGTAGAGACCCCAACTTCCCTTGACTTGAGAGGGAGGGTGCCAGCAGGGGGCAGTGCTGTTCCAGAAGGCACCAAGGCAAGAGGCCACCTGCCCACAGCTACACCTCTCTAAGACCGTGGAATTAAGAGTTACTGCTGCCTTAAGCGGCAGACGCTTTCCTGCTAGAATCTGTTTGCATGCACAGCAGATGGTGAAGGTGGTTTGAAAAAAAAGTCTCAGTGGGCAACACAACAACTAAGTATTCATTATCCTCTTCCAAGTTCACCCAGGGATCAGCCAAGGCAGCAGCATTATCGGTTTTGCTGACTCCCAGAAATTTTACATGGAGGTGATGCGTTCTCTATCGCGCGTGCTTGGACAAAGAATCAAAAATCGGTGAAGGCTCATGGGCACACACAGTGGAAATTAATGAGGGGCAACAGGTGACTGGGGGTTTGTGAGGGGCTGGTTTGTTCAGAGGTTTCAACACTGACAGTAGATGCTAGGTGAAGGTGGTCATTCTAATAGAATGAAAAGACACTCCAGGAGAATTGAGTTGGACAGCAAACAGCCTGCTCTTCTTAAGCACCTTGGGTTGGAACTCTTCTCAAACCTTGAAGGGCCAGCTGGAAAGGTACCCACAGTCAATACACATTACTGTGAACATATATTGAACCCCATATGAATTGACAGATATTGCGTCAACAGCCTCAGAGCCATATTCTATTTCATTTTCACACCACCTTGAACTAAGACAGAGAAAAAATTGTCTTAAAATCTGGCAATATTATTCCTCTTATGAGAAGAAATATCTTTTGAAAATCATGAGGTGCTTGGTGAGGGTAGCAGATTCTGAAAACTGTACTTATCTAGCGCCTACTCAGCACTCCTGCCAAACCCCTCTGTGGTGCTCTCCACACTGGAGAATTACAGACTCCATCTCCTAGACCCTTTGCAACCAGGGATCCACCTGGGATCTGGACTTCACCAAGCAGATGTGCTCTGCACAGGGAGGCCAGGGCAGAAGAGTGGGGTTTCTCCATGGCGGGCAGGGCAGTGGAAGCTTCTGTCCATGGCTTGGCGGCATGATCCTGGAAGCAGGCACACACAGTTCATGCGTGAGCCCAGTTCTCAGACATTGTGACTGTGGGATTGTTTCTAGAAACCCAGTGTAAATCATTTGCTTCATCATCCCCATGAAATCTGAGTCACATAATATCCTTTTATAAATCCTATTCTGCATAAGCCAGTCAGTGTGGATTTCATTGTATGCAAGAACTCTTCATTCAGGTGCAGGGCGGAAATTGAGACCTCAGGGCATGGATGTCAACTTGAGGGAAGGCTTCCCGGAGAGGCTCGGTGACTTCTGCACAGGGCAAGGAGGAGAAATTACTGCTTGGGAGAAGTCATGGGGAGAAGGGAGTAGAGGAGAACAAAATGGAGAGGCAGGAAGGGAATAACACTCACACACACACACACACACACACACACACACACACACACACACAGCAGAGTGAAGTTGTGGCCCCCTGGTGGTTGCAACATAGAGCATCTAATTTGAATATTGTTTGCTTGGTGGTCTGTGACTTGTTCTAACTCAGTGCTAAGCCCGCCGCCATCAGTAAGTTCTATTCCTCTCTTAAGTTTACATATGCTTTATGTGAGTTGGTTTTCATTTGTTTGTTTGTTTGTTTGTTTTTGAGGAAAACTAGTAGAAGGGCAAAGTTTCCAGTGTGGGCTAATTCATAATAACCACCATGAGGGTGCACATCCCTGGAACCCACTGAAGTCCTGGGGTGGCCTTGTGGCCCACCAGGCCATGGATCTCAAGGCAAGAAAAAAGTCAAGATCATTGTCCCTGATTCTCAAGGGGCAGAGGGTGTAGCTGATATCTATGTCATTGCACCTACAGAGTGCCATTTTTTCCATTTTCTGAGTGAATAATCTGGGGCTTAAAAGGGACTCAGAAAGTAAGTGTTCACAGTCAGATCTGTCTGGTTTCAAAGACCAAACTCCAACTGAGTAGTCAACAACCTCTCTCTCTCGAAGAGCTGCCAGTGGGGCCTCAGCCATTAAGCCAGTTTAGAATACTACCAAAGGACCCACAGCTAACACCAAGCCAGCCCAGAGTGCATGCTCCTCAGTAAAATAGCTATTCATGTCTTTGCTAATTTTTAAATTTATGGCCAGGATACAGTTCATTTTAATATTTTAAAATTTACTTAACATTTTTGTTTAAGACACTATTTTTATTTAAGATAAATGTTTATTTTATTTAAGACATAAAACATTTATTTAAGACAAATAAATACTGTTTTACTTAAAACAAATATTTTAATATGTGTGTAACAGCATGTATATCCTGTTATTGTTTGGTGTTCTGAAATGTCGATTAGATTTAGTTGATTTTGGGGTTGTTGGACTATTCTTTATCCTTGTTGGCTTTCTGTCTGGTTGTTCTATCAGCTGTTGAGAGAGGGGATAATAAAGTCTCCAACTATGATTGCAAATTTGTTCATTTCTACTTTTAGTTCTCAATATTTGATTTATTTATTTTGAGACTCTATTAGGTACATTTACATTTAGCAATCATATCTTCTTGGTGAATCGACCCTTTAATCACTGCATCCATCTTTAACATTGGTAATTTTTCTTGCTCTTGATTCTATTTTGTCTGAATTATTATAGCCATCCCAGTCTTTTATTATAAATATAAACAACACTTTGTGCTTTATCTTTGTGTTCATTCTTGATTATTAGAATTCTTTGCCTAGAGGCCTGCGTGTTTTCAAAGGTTTTTAATTGGATTGTCAATGTTTCATGCATAAATTCACCAACTTATTGCCTCAATACTTTCAAATAATCATAAATAACAAAATAGCTATATTGGAAAACAGGCTTTCCCAATTGGACAGAAATTGTTTCATAACTATGGGAGTGGTTCGTCGTGGTTGGTACACATCTGGACAAGTTAAATTCTTATTTATTCCAGCAAAAAGTCAAGAGGTGTAAACTCATAAGTCAAGAAATCGAGGGCATATGTGTATTTTGAAAGCCAGTATAAGTGTTGGATGCAACAACCATAGGGTTGCGAATGGTTGCCCTTGAGGAACTGGATTGTCACGGGGGATAGGGTAGGGGCAAGTGTGGGTAAGGAGTAGTGCATCAGGGGAATAGTGCAGGGGTCTAGTGATACATCAGGGAAACAGGAGCCGTGCATCAGGGGGAGTAGTTAAATAGTATTTAACGCCCCTGTATTATATTTTTAAGAGCCTGTAAATGTATTACTTTGATCTTATAATTAACATCTGGTTGACGGTTTAAGTTGTGTTTAAATTTATTATCAGTAATCCCATATTCAACCACTAGTAAAACTGCCTCTCGGGGAGTAAACTACGACTCCCAGGATTCCACGCGGTAACCGGCCGACTAGCCTCCATGTAAACTACAGTTCCCAGGATTCCACGAGCCAAGGGGGTGGTGCTGATTGAGGGCTGGAGGCTGCTGGACCCGCTCACCTGCGCACGCGCACAGGCTACCGCGCCGGGCTCGCGGGCTGGATAGGCGCACGGCGGGCGCTTGCGAGCCCGGCGGCGGCGGACCCTGCTGCACGCTGCACCCTGCGCTCCCTGCCTGGGCCTCCCGGGTTCGAAGCGGGCACTGTAGGCGGCGGTGGAGGATTTGACCAAAGCCAGTTCCGCGGGCGGCTCTCCAGGACGCGTCGGCTGAGGTGGCTTCAGCTCTGCGGAGCCGGGTTGCAGGTGAGACCCGCGCTCGCGGCTGCCGAGGGTTCGGCTCCCCGGGCGGGTTCTGAGTTGAGGGATTGGCTCGGGACCTCCGCCGGGAGGAGACGACCGGGGCGCCGGGCCTGGGGCGAGGAGGGGGGCGCGTCGGGGAGTTTACAGAACTGAGGAGGGACGCGTGCTGCAGGCTGGAGGAGAAGGAGGTGGGCGGGGGCGAGAAGAGGTGAACCCCAGTGTCTGGGTGCCGCCGGCCCGGGCGACGCCCCGAGACTTGCAACCGAAGCCCTTAGCTCCGGGCTGAGTTCTGGCAGCGGGTCCGCACACCGTTTTGCTTGGAGGGTGATGGTGCTCAGGAGGCGCGGATGGCCAGGAGCCAGGCTAGTTGCGCGAAGGGGCCCTGGGCCTCCAGAGCGCCGTTTGAAATCAGAGCTGGGCAGGCAGACATCTGATCCCTGGGCTCCGTGGGACTTAATAATAGAGCACCTACTGTGTGTCGGGTGATGGGAGTTTTCCAAGGCTTGCTTAGCAGTGCTGAAGATGGACCGACCCTACGGACTCCTACCCAAGGCCTGAATGTATGTCTCCCCATCATTGATGGAAGTCCCCTGCCAAGTTCAGGGATCCTCAGGCCAGAGCCCTGCACCTCGTACTGGGGCCAGATTCTGCTTGCTTTATGCCAACTCTTGGGGGAATCAAGGCCCGACGTGGAAAGGGTTATGGAATGAGCTTGATAGGACTTAGTGGCTAAGAGCACAGGCAGAGCAGAGTTCCTTCACTAAACCTTTACTGTTACATGTGCAGGGCGTCTAAATCCTGACTCTCATTTACTAGCTGTGTGTCCTTGAGCAGGTCACTTACCCTCTGTGAGCCTGAGTTTCTCCCTCAGCAAAATGGGGATAAAAGTACCTCCGTATCAGGGTTGCTATGACGAGTAAATGAAATAATGCCCCACAGTCCTTAGCCTCATGTCTGGTACACAGTGCATTGCAATGAATGTTAGCACTTGCTAACATTGCTAACGATGGAAAATGTTAGAGGTGAGATTGGAACCCAGGTCCATCTTTATGCTGCAAGTAGCTGCCATCTCTGGCTCTCAAAGGTGTTGGCCAGTTTCCAACTCATCCTTTCACATGACCGATGAGGACTCTTTTAAGTCTCAGTTGGTGGCAGGGCCTGAAAGAGCACATGCTACCTCTTTCCCAGTGATGGCCAGCACATCAGTTGCAGAATCTTGGGCCTAGAAAGGTGAGGGGAAGCTGAGCAAAGAGGAGTAAATGAAATAATGAAATAATGCCCCACAGTCCTTAGCCTCAAGGAGGATGGGTGCTGAGACCTGGGCTTTCACACACCATGTGAGCATCCCGTGGCCTTGATGAGGTGTCAGAGCAGCTCTAAGATTTTTCAAACTGGCCTCTGGCTGGCAAGTTCTTGCTCTGAGCCTTGCTTTAGAATATTTAGCAATAAGCAAATGTTCCTAATGGGTATTGAGTTCGCCAGAAAATTCAATTACCAAACACTCCATTCCCCAAGGGTCCTTGTCACTCTCAGTTTGGTGTCAGTGACTACTCTCCCCCAGGACCCACCTATCATCTGATAATTTTTTTTTATAATAGCTGTGAGCATTCATTTACCAATAGTTGTGAGTAATTCATTTAACGAATCTCGGCATACTTCCTCAAATGTGGAATGAGATTGTTAACAGCAGTTTTAGGTTTGTTGAAGGGAATCAGTGAGTTAATGCATGTAAAGCACTTACCATTATGCCTGGCATAGAGTAAGAGCCAGTGAAGGGGAGTTGTTCTAGCATTGTGATTAACAATAATATTATAAAAATAATTGCTAGACACTGTGTTTTGCCTGTGTTGTCTCTGAATTCACAAAACAACCTTGTGACGTAGGTATAATTGTGTCTTTTTCAGACCAGGAAATGAACACTTGCGGAGGTTAAGAACTGTCACAGGCAGATACAGAAGGACAAATACTGCACAATGCCACTTATATGATGACTCTAAAAGAGTAAAACTCATGAAGGCATAGTCAGTGGTGGTTGCCAGGGGCTGAGAGAAGGGGAATAAGAGAGGTGCAAAGTTTCAGGTATATAAGAGGATTAAATCCTAGAGATCTGTTGTACACCATAGTGCCTATAGTTTACAGAAACCTTTTATATACTTACAATTTTGCTAAGAACGTAGATCTTATGTTAAGTATTCTTATCACACACAAATAAGAGGACAGGAAGGCATTTTTGGAGGTGATAGCTAGGTTTGTGGCATAGATTATGGTAATGGTTTATGAATGTACACTTATCTCCAAACTCAGGAAATGACATACCCTTATTATGTACAGTTTTCTGTATGCCAAAAAAGAAAAAATGATTGGTTGAGGATCACAGAGCTGTTAGGACCTCACATCATGGCATCCCAGCTCCAGAACCAGTTGATCGTTGCTTCTTCTACTCTGCTGCCCATAGTCTTCACAGTTCTTGAAGCACAGTTGTGCCTGTGGCAGGGTATCTTACACCTCAGCAGGCAGGTCTTCTCATGCTGCTTGGAGAAAGAGGTAGGAACCTGTAGTCCACTACATATGTTTCCTCTTCATGGCAGAGGTGGGATGAAGTTGCTTTTGTCTAGTAGGGAAGCTGGAGGAGGTCATGTGCTAAGTGGTTCTGGGGGGTGAGATATTAGGGATTAAGCTCTGTGGCCATCACTGGACAAGTGGATTGGAAGGGGCATGATGTGGGTAGGATCTGGAGAGCTGGGCTATGAGAGCAAGTGGTTTTGCTAAACAAAGGGCTGGGGGCCTCCGCTGGTGGTGCAGTAGTTGAGCGCTGGGTTGCGAGGCTACCCGCAGCCTCTGCAGCGCCAGTTCAATCCCCGGCCACTGGCAAGTGTCCCACCAAAAAAAAAATAAATAAATAAATAAAAAATAAACAAAGGGCTGGGAAGAGTCCCAGAGCTGTGCCCTTCCTCTCTGGGCCTGGTGGCTGCTTTTGGGAAGAGGGTTGCCCTCAAGCTGCAGGTTTGAGCAGAAGAAGCCCTGGATTGAGAGCCAGGGTGTTGCTGTTTTATTCTTGGCTATATGTGAATGCCCACACTGCCTCTCAAGACTTCTCTTACAAAATAAGGAGTCAGAGCACATATTTTATAGTCTCTTTTTTTTTTTAATTTTTTTTAAGATTTTATTTTTATTTTTTTATTTATTTATACAAGCACTGGGTACAGTCAGAAGCGCGGGAGGGTGAGAGAACTCTCTAGAGCCAGAGCGGGGAGCAGAGCAGGCAAAAGGACCGAAGTACACTGCTGAGGGGAGCAGCGGGTGGCAGGAGAGGTCTGCGCGCCATGTGGGACCCTCCTCCAGTGGCCGGGGAGCAGCCGGGGATTGAACCGGCGCTGCAGAGGCTGCGGGCGGCTTCGCAACCCAGCGCTCAACCGCTGCGCCACCAGGGAGGCCCTTATAGACTCTTTTAGCTCTAAAAAGCGGTGGCTTTGTAATTTTAAAATTGCTGTCTTAACCCCCTCAGCACAGTACAGGGCATCTGGGATAATTATCCCCCTGGTATCCTACATAGACTGTCCTGCCTGATGTCGTGCTGTCTGGCCGGGTGGGGAGTCATTACAGGAGAGAAGCCTGGGGTTGCTAAGTTACAGTTGAGGTCTGTGTTTCCAGAGCCATCCACTCCTACTCTGCCCTTGAGTAATAAAAGCAGATTGCTGCGAGGTCTGCTCTGCTTCTCTGTCACTGAGTGTACCTCCGAGTCTGATGGCACATGAGCTCAGTGCTTGAGAACAAGACCCCTGGAGTCAGATTGGATTGGAATCCTGGTGCCCTTGCTTGACCTGTCTAGAACAAGGTCTAGAACAAGGTCCTTAACCTCACTAAAATCTCGGCTTTTTCAAAGAAAGAGGAAATGGAGATTATACTAGTAGCTGCACTGGAAAGCTTTTGTGAGATTTAAATGAAAAGGGGAAGGAAAAGGGCTTAGGACACTGCCTGGCATGTAATAGGTGCTCAGTAAAGTAAAGTGGTGGTAACATTAACCTCTACCCCCAACCAAAGACTAGCATCCTCTTCTCCTGAGCTAGCCTGGACAGCGTTTGATCTTTCCATTTTGTCTGGCTTCCCATGTCTTCTCTGTACACAAGGCCCAGCATCTGTCAGAGAATCAGGCTTTTCATTCTGCCATTGTGACTACCATTTGGTAGTTAAGGAACCTTCTAAAACAGGCCTCAGAGTAAGGTGGGCTTCTCAGTCTGCCCCAGAACATAGGCTTATGTACTATCTTAGCAGAAGATGGGAACAAATTTACTAATTGCAAAATTGACGCATGTTAGAGAAACCTCAAAACAGCTCCGAAAATTGAGCACATGTAATCACCTGGAATCATCATTAAAACACAGGTTCTCGGGCCCCACCTCAGAGAATCTAGTTCCACACATTCTCTCCCCAGGTCTGAAGTGGGGCCCAAGATTCTACATTTCTAGAGCCCAGGTGGTACTGATACTGGGTCACACTGGGAATGCCTGTTCGGAGGACCCCTGACCAGTCTCTTTCTCACCTGCGGAGCAGCCTTCACAGGCTGATGTTTTGCAGGACCACTTCCAGGCAGAGACTCGCTGTCCTACAAAGTAATGACCCCTCATGTTGAAGCAGCTCTGCCCCCTTAGAACAGCTCTTCCTGCACCCCACTCCTGGTGACCTCCTTCTGCAGGCCTCACCTCAGGGTCCTGGGGCAGCTCATTCAGCCATGCTAGGGGCAGAATGGCAGCCAAATCTGAGAATTGCATGTACCCCAAGTCCATACTTATGCCTGGGGCCCTGTGTCACCACCATGCGCGTGTATCTAGTCAGTCACAAAGCTTGCAGCCCACCATCTAGAGCACACTCGCTGCACAGTCTCTCAAGTGTGCAGAATGTGGAGAATGCCACGGTTTTGGGACTTCTTTTCTCCAGGGAAGTAGCGCTGCTCATTCAAGTATCCTACACACACTGCGATTTCTTGATCTTCCTGATCCTGGTTG